CGTATGGTAACCCTACCTTAAAGTCTATGAGTCTAACTTTCGAATGTGCCAGGGGGTGCTCACTGCTCAACCCCCTGTCTCTGCCACAGGCCCTGCCCCCACTCCAACCCTGAGCCTGCCGTGCCCTTGCTCCTCCCCCTTCCCTCCCAGAGCCTCCTGCATGCCACAAAACAGCTGATCGGGAGGTGCGGGGAGGGAGGAGGAGGTGCTGGTCAGTGGCGCTGCCGGTGGGCGGGAGGCGCGCATGGGTGGAGCTGTTGGGGAGCTGCTGATGTATCACCAGGGCTCTTTGGCAATGTATGTTGGTAAATTCCTTCTCAGGCTCAGGTTGGCCACCCCTGGTCTAGGTGGTGTTACTGACACCTGGTGGGAGGATGCGCACTATTGGAATGTTAAAATCAACAGTTACAACCTCTTTCAGAAAGAGAGAGTGGGCAAAAGGGGAGAGGGCGCGACACTCTGTGTCCAAGATGGCATTACCTGTTCCTGAGTCACTGATAACTTAGAAGAAAATGATTTTGAATGCTTATGGAGCAATGTCCTAACAGGAGCACCAGATGGGCTATTAATTGGAGTCTGCTACAGACTCCCAAATTGTACTAGGGAACGGGATGGGGCACTTCAATTTGAGTGACATATGCTAGGGGTCTCATGCTGCCAGGATTAAAACATCCTGGGAATTTCTAAACACTATAGATGACAATTTCCTAACCCAAAAAGTGTTGCATCCAACACAGGGGAATTCTATATTACACCTTGTCATGAAAGATAAAGAGGAACTGAACACGGAACTAAAAAACAATGGTATCTTAGGTACAGGTCGTCATGATTTGATCGTATTTATGATGTGCAAACAGAATAAAGTCCAGACAGGTGATATCGATAGATACATGGTGCTTTCAAAGGGCCAGTTTCACAAAGCTAAAAATAATTATGAGCCAAATCACATGGGAAGAAGAATTTAATCAGAAAAAAGTGAATAATTAGGAATTGTTTAAGAACACTCTACTAGATGCCCCAAAAGCCCCAATCGATGAAGAAGGCCACGTTGGTTAAAAAACCTATCTAGTTTAAAGAGGCAGTGAAGGCAGCTATTATTTATCTATATCTATATAAGTAAAACAATTGGAAGAAAAGGAAAGTTGATAGTAATGAATATAAATCAGAAGCTAGGAATGAAAATTTATAAGGGAAGCAAATTAGAAAATTTATAAGGGAAGCAATGGGATACAAGGCAAAAATCTATGACCAGCAGAGTTAAGGACAATAAGGAGTTTTTAAAATATATTAGGAACAAAAAGAATCCTAACAACGGAACTGATCCATTACTTGAAAATGGTAGAATTATCAGTAATAATGGAGAAAAGGCAGAAGTGTTCAATAAATATTTCTGTTCTATACTTGGGGAAAAACCATATCATATAGTCATGTCATATGACAACACTCTTTCCATTCCACTAGTATCTCTGGAGGATGTTAAACAGTAGCTACTAAAGTCAGATGTTTTTAGATTGGCAGGTCTGGAGAACTTGCATTCAAGAGTTTTAAAAGAGCTGGCTGAGGAGCTCACTGGACCATTAATGCTGATTTTCAATAAGTCTTAGAACACCCCAGAAGTTCCAGAAGACTGGAAGAAAGCTATTGTTGTGCACTATTTTAAAAAGTAAGCAGGATGATCTAGATAATTATAGGCCTGCCAGTCTGACATCAACCCCTGGCAAGATGATGGAGGAGCTGCTATGGGACTTGATTAATAAAGACTTAAAGAAGGGTAATATAATGAATGCCAATCAATGTGGGTTTATGGAAAATAAATCCTGTTTAACTTAATATCTTTTTTTGATGAGATTACAAGTTTGGTAAAGGTAATAGTGGTAATATACTTGAACTTCTGTAAGGCATTTGACGCAGGATATTTTGACTGAAAAACTAGAAAGATATAAAATGAACGTGGCACACGTTAAGTGGATTAAAAACTGGCTAACTGCTAGGTCTCAACATGTAACTGTAAACCGGGAGTCATCATCGAAAGAGTGTTTCCAGAGGGATCCTGCAGGGATCAGTTCTTGGCCCTATGCTATTAAACATTTTTATTAATGACCCGGAAGAAAACATAAAAACACCACTGATAAAGTGAACAGATGACACAAAAATTGGGGAATGGTAAATAATGAAGAGGCCAGGTCACTGGTACAGAGCGATATGGATTGCTTGGTACTCTGTGCACAAATAAAACAATATGTTTTTAACATGGCTAAATGCGAATATATACATCTAGGAACACAGGACAAGGCTCCATTCCCACAATGGGGGACTCTAGCCTGGGAAGCAGGGACTCTGGAAAAGATTTGGGGGTCGTGGTGGCTAATCAGCTGAACACAAGCTCCCAGCATGATGCAGTGGCCAAAAAGGCGAATGTGATCCTTGGATACACAAACAGGGGTAGAAGTAGAGAGATTATTTTCTCTCTGGATTTGGCACTGGTGCAACTGCTGCTGGAATTCTGTGTCCAGTTCTGGTGCCCACAATACAGGAAGGATGTTGAGGAATTGGAGAGGGGTCAGAGAAAAGCTACGAGAATGATGGAAAGGATTCGAAAACTTGTCTTACAGTGATCGACTCCAGGAGCTCAGTCTGTTTAGCTTAACAAAGGTTAAGGGATGTCTTGAGCATATTCTATAAGTACCTACATTGGGGAACACATATTTAATAACGGGCTCTTCAGTCTAGAAAGGTATAACACGATCCAGTGGCTGGAAGTTGAAGCTAAACAAGGCGTACATTTTTTAGCAGTGTGAGTAATTAACCACTGGAAAAACTTCCCAGGGGCTGTGAGGATTCTCCATCCCTGACAATGTTTAAATCAAGACTGGGAAGTTTTTCTAACAGATCCGCTCTAGGGATTGTTCTGGGGCAGTTCTCTGGCCTGTGCTATCCAGGATGGCTGGCTAGGCACAAAGGTCCCTTCTGGCCTTGGAATCTATGTTAAAAACCCAGGCCAGGATTCAGGGGGAGGCTGTGTGGTGACACTGGGCAGCACAGGCTGTGTTAGTCTGGAAGCTGGAGAGCCACAGGGTGTGCCTGTGTCCTGCAGCCTTGCTAAGATTCATCATTATCTCAGGTACTGCTGAGTCCGGTGTCTTCTCTACCGCACAAGGCATGTTACAGCTACAAGAATACAGAACAGAACGGGCAGGAAGAGTTTAAGCTGGATTTGTTCCCCTCCCGTCCTGGTAGCAGCCCCCGGTGGGGAGGGGCGTGGGGCTGGGGGGAGCTCGCACTCACCGCTCACAGACACGACGGTGCCAGCGCCGGATCTGATCTCCTCATCGGCTCCCGACCTCTTCTCAAACTTCACACAGTGATAGATCCCGGCGTCCTTGGGGCGGGTGTCACTGATGCGGATGGTGAAGTTTGTGTTAGAGCCATTCACAGCCCGCGTCACCCGGGGGAATGATCCCACCTCTGCATAAACGAGCTGGCGGCCACTGCCCGAGCCCTTGAACCACTTCACGGGTCCTACTGGCTCGAGCCCAGTCACAGAGCAGATCAGAGTGAGAGTCTCTCCCGGCGACACCCACACGGGGTCCTGGGGCTGCAGCAGCTGGAACTCCTCGGCCCCGGCCCCTGCAGCGCAGAGACAGTGTGGGAGGGTTTTAGTTAATGACAAGGATAAGGGGTTGTTATTATTCCCGATACTGTGTATTACTTACACAGTGCTCACAGCGTGTTCAGTGAGATCTTCCTCTCCACCCACGGGGAACTGGAGACTTGGTTTCGGAAGCCCTAAGTTGATCTGACGTCTGTTGGGTTTAACCATTTACCTCCCTGCACTCTGCTCCGTCCTACTTAAACCCCGCACTTTGCTGAGGCCCGGGAGATCAAGATGGGGGGTTGTTCCCACCTGAACCTTTAATGTTCCTTGTGCTGTAAACAAAACCCAAGTTACAACCCCGGGGCAAATTCCCAGCCTGGGCCTCCACACTGGCATGTCTTAAATCAGCAGGTACAGACAGGCGTTTGCCCAGGCAGATGGGTGGTTGGGCACCAAATTACCCAATTCATGTGCACAACTCCGGGGACTGCATGTGCAAAGGTGTGTGTGTGTGTGTGACGTGCACAATTTGCATGCCCTATCAGATGCCTGGTTGAGGCTGGCTGAATGCTTTGGCCCACAGGCCCAGACTCTGCTCTTGAACTGGCTTGTGTTGGGACTGGTAGCCCCCAGATCCAATGGGATTATGTCCCCTCCCCCCCAAGCCCTGTGGTAACGCTGCCCAGCAGCCCCATTCACCCTCTTCTGGAGCATCACTCCGTGGCATCGAGCCCTCCACTTATGGGCATCCAGGGGGCAGCTGCTGGCCGAGGGAGCCTTGGCCGTGGGGTTTCCATGGATCTGTGCTGCCAGGAGCTGGGGAGAGCTGAAGAAAGCCCTGGAGTCGGCATGAAGCCGCAGAGCTTGGAAGCTGGTGGCCACGATCTCTGGTGGATCCTTCAAGATCCACAATGTTTGGGGTCAGTGCTGCTGCTGGGGGCAGAACAAAGCCTGCCCCTTCCCCTGCCCCATCAAAAGAATTCAGAGAGCCACCCAGGGCACATCCCATGGCTAGTACTGCAGAGAGGTTGAGTCTGGTTCTCTCGGCGCAGAGTCTGGGGCAGGTCGTGGGTTGCCATGTTCCTGGCGGGATGCTGGTGAAGGCACTTGCCTAGCAGTGGCAAAACTGGCTCCGCGTGTTGCTTGTGCTGAACATGCAAACCTGGAAACAACGTTCTGTGCAGAGTGACTCTTAAAGTCATGCCTATGCATTTCTCTTCCCCTTTTTTATTTATAAACTCGGGGCGGTTGCACGAAAGCAGGAGCGTTGTCTCTTTAAGAGGTTATGCGTTATTGCTGTTTATTCCCCACTTGGAGCAGCTGGGCTGGGAGATCATCAAAGCTGTGATGGCAGAGGGGGGTGGGAGGGGGAAGCGGATGGGTCAGATGATCTGTGCACAAACCAAGACCCTCTTCTCCTGCAGATCTCCTCGCTGAAAGGGAATAAACCCCCGAATGCAGGAAGAGGTGGGGAGGACTCATTTCTAAGTACAACGCTTTTCAGGAGTTTTCTGTCCAGCGTCGGCGGGGTCCCAGCAGCTCTTCCAAGATGGACATCACTTGCTGCTCTGCTGTAAAACCAAGCAGGTGATGTGGGAGCAGCTCTGGAGGGACTCCATGCAGCCCAGCTCAGGAGGGAGGTCACAGCAGTGCAGGGCTGGGTGCACGGAAGTGTGCAGGACACGCGTGTGCTGCCTGGTCTGTGCTGTGTGCATGTACCTGGAGGAAAACTGCAGAGGAGCTCCTGGAAAAGAGTCCACGAACTGTGATGTTTTTGTAGAGTCGAGTCCCGCTCACCGAGAAATACATGGAAAGACCTTTAACCTTGCAACGCCACGTCCCAGGCTCCCCGGGAGGGTAAATGCTCTGTGGTTATTTTAAACACTCTCTCTCTCTCTCTCTCTCTCTCTCTCTCTCTCTCTCTCTCTCTCTCTCTCTCTCATAAATAGATATCTGTCTCTGTCTTCCTCCTGCAC